GATCGGCCCCAGTACAAGCCCTTGACAATCGGACATCAAATCTGCGACCCTTTGGCCCTTCGGTGCACTGGCCCTGCTCTCACCACCGAGTCTGCCCTTTTTTTTTTTTTTAAGTCCTCAACTTTAAAAAAAAATATATATATATTTTATTGATTTTTTACAGAGAGGAAGAGAGAGGGATAGAGAGTTAGAAACATCGATGAGAGAGAATCATCAATCAGCTGCCTCTTGCACACCCCCCACTGGGGATGTGCCTGCAACCAAGGTACATGCCCTTGACTGGAATCGAACCTGGGACCTTTCAGTCTGCAAGCTGACTCTCTATCCACTGAGCCAAACCGGTTTCGGCTGCCCATTTTTTAATTGGGCGATTTCCTCTTGGTTGCCGGAGCCCTAATGATTTTTCTTGTATTCATTCTGGCACCAGACTTGTCTCCCAAACAGGATTTGCGAGTATTTTCTCCCACTCTGTTCAGTCTCTTGTTGCACCCAAGTCTTACATTTTGACTGAGTTCAAGTTCACCTATTTTTCCTTTTGCTGCTTATGCTCGTGTTTTGTGGTGAAGATTCACGGCCACGCCCACGGCCATGAGACGAGGACCTCGGGGGAAGCTAAAGCACAGCTGTGTGAGGGTTTCGGTGGGGTCTGGCAGCTCCTGCCGGTCCGAAGCGCGAGGACATCTGTCCTGCGCCTGACGCTTGAGGGAGAGTTGGAGGTGGGGATGAAAAGAGAACTTCCCCTCACAGGGAACAGAAGAGGCAAAGACAGAAAGGCAAGAGTAAGTGAAAGACTTGTACCTCCCCCTCCCTCTCCTTCTTCCCCCCAACAACCCCTGGGCAAGAACTCCTACCCCAATTTGGGCGCCCACAGAAGGCGGGAGGGGACCTGAGCAAGCGGAAGGCCATTCCTGGGGGAACGGCAGATGCCACCTCCTTCCGTCTGTGATCATCCCCTTTGCAGAGGAGGGAGCCGAGGCCACAGGGGCACGACCTTCCCTGAAGCTGCAGAGTCAGGCGCAGCTGTGATGCTGGTCCAGCCAGGCTGGCTCCGGCAGCCATGGGGTGGGTCCGGCGGGGGAGGGGGCAGGGCGATGGCTGGAGGCCCTCTCTCACCTGAGGCCTCTCTCTTGTTTCTCCAGGTGCTTCTCTGCGGGCCTCCCTGTCCCCTGGGAAGCCCGGGCAGAAACTCGAGACTCGGGCCTCCGTTCAGGCTGCCAGGAGGCCCAGGCCTCGCCCTCCTGCCCTCCTTCCTCCTCTAGAGCCACCACGTCCTGCCCCGTGGCTGCCATGGGGGCTGCAGAACAGAGGTCCTCTACTTACCTGGCCTGTAGCTCAAGGTTCAGCCTCCCGCCCCGCGGTGGCCTCCCCGGGCTGGAGCACCTGGTCAGAGGAGGAGGTGGGGACAGGAGGCCCCACTGGTTTCTGGTTTCAGAGTCCCTTCCCCTCCTCCCCCTCCCCGAGCCCAGCTTTCTGGGAAACATGGTCACGGCTTCCTCTGAACTCTGTTAACCTGGGAGTCCTCTGTGGGAGGGAGGCCGGTTCCACCTTCCGGACCCGAGGCTTCCTGCCGTGCTCAGCACACACCTCCTCCGCTGCAGCCGGCTGAGCTCACTTCTCCCACCTGCCCACCTTCCAGAAGATTCTGCGCTACCCTGACCCACACCCCCATGTCGTACGATGTCCCAGGCTCTAGCACACAAGCCAGGGTCTGACCTCTGCTGCTGGGCGGCTGCGGCCTCCGACTGTGTCACATCTGGGGAGGAGTTTGAGCTCAATCAGGCGCTCTCTCCTGAGGACCTTGGACATTGGGGGTGCGCCATTCTCTACGGGGGCTGTCCCTGGCATGGTGGGGTGCTGAGCAGCATCCCTGGCCCCACCCGCTCGATGCCAGGAGCACCCAAGTCGTGACAGGTACCGATGTCCCCCGACGTCACCTGCCGTCCCTGCTTGAGGGGCGTTGTCCCCACGGAAGACCCTGTGGGCTGAGGACAGCTGGGGGAGCAGAGAGGAGTTACCCGTGGTCACATGTCACCTGAGATGTGCTGTGAGGGCAACACCCCCTCCTACAAAGACTCGTCAGAAAGAAAGAGGAGAATGTAAAGACCACAGCAGTTTTTCACGTTGATTACAAGGGTCCCGCGCTATTGTGTTAAATAAAGCACACCATCCGATCACCGTCACCTGTCTCCTTTTCCTATTGTAGCTGCAGCTGCTGGAAAATGGAAACTGCAGAGACCCCACCTGGAGCCGGCCTGGCCCGCTGGTTCTGCAGCTTTCCCCCCTCTCCCCACCCCACGTTTGTTATGCTCACAGAAGGGAATGCCACCTGTCCAGGGCCCAGGCTGACCCGGCCTGAGGTTTTCACAGGATGAAGGCATGGGCTTCATACATCAAGTACTGAGATAGAGCTGACCCCATGACATCGATGGAGCTGAGCGATCCCTTATTCTGTGGGTCACCAAGGGGCTGTCGGGGTGAGCTACCAGCTCGGAGGCACACAGGCCATGGAAAGACCAGTTGGGGACACGGGACAGCACGTGGTCACGTAAAGTGCTGTTGAGCTGCACTGACTCGTACCAACAACACACTTGAGATTTTCTTCCTGCAAACCAAGCACCAAAAAAAAAAAAAAAAAAAAAAAGAAAGCGAAGAAAACACACAAAAAAATAAATAAATGAAAGAACACCCATTGTGCAAGATTCTAAAGCTCTGCTTTTTTTGGGGGGGGACAGAAGTCAGACAGAGGGCTGCTGGGGGCACAGGGTTGCTGGGTCCCCCTGACTCCCAACACAGTGGCTGTGTCTTCTCACATACGTGGCCTTCCCAGGGTTTTGAAAGAACAAGAAACCCTGACACATGCACAAAGCCCTTGGTCTCCAATAAGAACCGGGGCTGAGGCCTGATGACAACTTCTGTTGGATCCCCATGTCAGGAGACCCCAAAACCAAGGCCAGTCAGTTTCTCTGAAGAGCCTGCCCCCTTGCAATCGAGAACCTGTAACCACGTTGCTGGGCGGGGAGCCGTTTCCTAGGTCTGAGGGCCCCTTTGGCCAGGCAGTTGGGAGCAGCGAGGCCTGGACCTGAGAACGGCGGTGACTGAACTGGAAGGTACCAAATTTGGAGACGTTCTCAGGGAACGGGGGCTGAGGGAGACACCTGCAAATTTGGCTGTCAGCGGTTCACACTCAGGAGTGAGCCCCTTTCTAGAAGCCTGGTTCTGGGTTCTGGTGCGGAGTGGGAAGAGAAAGAGCCAGGTTCTAGACCTTTCCAGACGTGCCAAGTGATCTTGGCGAAAGCAACAGTACAGTATAGAACGTGGTCACGTAGAATTGAGGGCCTTGGGGGTGGCATCTACACCTCTCAATGCTTGTGGAGGCGCCCATTTTCAAACCACCCCCCTCCACCCTAAATCCCCCCCCTCTCCCCCCCATGTGGGCTTTTGCTCCTTGTGAACAGCAGCCGGGTTTCCCGTTAAGGGGAGCCTGAGATGGACAGGACAGGCCCAGAGAGGTGGACCATCTGTGACCACGTGCCAGGCTCCCCGGGGCCAAGAGGCCAATTGACAGTTCACGTTAGGGCCCCTTCCCCCTCTGAGGAAGGTCCTGAGGGAGCTGGGTCCTCACAGAGCAATGCCTTCAGCATTTTAGTTTTTATTCTTTTCTAAATCAAGTGAGACTTTGGAGGGAAACTGAAGTGGCAAAAACCTGGGAAGCTGGTTGAGAAAGCCACAAACTCTTCTGTGGCCTCAGAAAAACATGGGAGACTGGGGGGGTCTCCACAAGAAAAGGACCTGCAGTCCCCTCGGGGCCAGGCCCCTGCCTTGGGCTGCGTCTCCGGAAACCCGGGCCAGCTTGGATTGCACCAGCCACATCCCTCTCAGAAAACCCTTCCCCTGCAATTCGCCACAGATAAGTATCAGCTTGTTTCAACCACCCGGTTTTGAGGGGGGCGGCTGACAGCTTTCACATCTTCAGCGTTCAGAAGAGGGGAGCCTCAGACACAGCCCTGGCCCCCACTTCCTACCTCTGAGCCCCGAAGGGAGGCGGCCAGCCACCCCGCGGTGCGGGGTCTGCGGAGACGTCCCTCCAACCAGCTGTGGGTGAAGGTTCAAGGGCCAGCAGAGTGGCCCCCGGGGAGTCACTTTGGATTCCCTGGGCGAGCAGAGGTGACTGAGGTGCAGCCCGCCCACGCACACCGGCGACGGGGAGCACAGGTCTTATCTACCGAACCTGCTGGGAGTTTCAACCACACCGCGGGCCTGGAGACCCAGCACTTCCTTTCTGCAGAGCCGAGTCGGCTCAGCTGCCACGATGAAGAGTCGGAGTGTCTGCCGCTGAGGCACGGGGAGGCCCGGACCCTCTTGGGCAGGTCACCCTCCGCTGAGGACACACAGGGTCGGCCGGACCAGCTCTGTGACAAGAGGCGGCAGTGGCCGCGGGAAGGGGGCCTCGTGACAACCAACTGCCTCCCTGCTCTCCGGGGACCGGTGTCAGGCGAGGAGACAGCACACAGAAATGCCAGGCGGCACTCCCTCGGTTTTGGTGAAACATGTCAGTGTCTAGGGGTTCCCTCTGAAGCTCGGTCCTTTGAAAAAAGAGCAGAGCCCGTTCCCGAGGCCATGCCCCTCCCAATTTCTCTAAGGAAGGCCCAGCTGCCTGGGGGCTGGAGCCGTCCTGAGGGATAATGTTCCCCGCGGGGTTGGACCAGGGGCTGGCCCCCATAAAGAACAAATGGAACAAGTACAATGGGCTCGGTTTGCTTTTTCTTTCCCTGTTTTTTTTTTTTTTTTTTTTCTTTAAACCTAAGTAAGCAGGTTCTGAGACGACAACATGGGCAGTGTCACCCTTCCCCGGAGACCAGAGGCCGAGGCTGCGACAGGTGGAAGAGGAAGTGAATGTTCGCCGTGTGCACTCTCCTCGGCTCGGTGGGAGGGGCGGGGAGGAGCCGGTCTGTCCAGGGCGGGAAGGGCGGGCGGGCTGGATTCAGACGGGTCACCGGCAGTCACACGGCGGTACGTGTGGGCGTGCTGGGCTGGTTCAGACGCAGCGTTTTACACAGCCAGCCGGCAAAATCCACTTCTTCCACCTCAGACCGTTTGATGAAGCTATGGTTCTGAAAAGGAAGGAGAGGCGCCGTGAACAGCCTGCTGCCTGCAGGGAGGAGTAAGGAACCAGGCTTCTGCTCGGAGCTGGCAGGCCAGCTGGGATGGAAACCCCAAAACGGAGAGAAAAGCCCCCCAAAGCAGGAGGACCCAGTTGGGACAGGGAGCAGGGAGGTCCCATGCCCGAAGCCACACAGACATGTTCAGGGCGTCAGGGGAGGAGGCGGCTGCTCTGTGCTCCCCGGAGCCCAGGCCTCTGCCTCACACTGCTGACCCTGAGGCCAAGTCAGTCCCTGTGAGCCATGCTGGCACTGTGGAGTGATGAGCAGCATGGCTGGCCCCCGCCCACTCAATGCCAGGAGCACCCCCAGTTGTGATGATCATAGGTGTCAACAGCCATGGCCCAGCACCCCTGCAGGCAGAGTCTCCCTAGGTGAGACCATCTAATCTGGAAAAGCACTAATTGCCTGTGTGGGTAGCAAGTTCCCTACAAGTCCCATTCAGTATGGCAGCCACGGGCCACAAGAGGCTCCTAGGCCCCTAAATATGGCTTGTGAGACCGAGGAACTGATGTGTGCAGTCCAGTTTGCTTTAAGAATTCAAGGCCGGGGTTCCAGCAGGAACAGCAGAGCATGCTGGCTTCCTGGTTCTGGGCTGGGTGGGGTGAGCCAACGCTTTCTGATCAGGGTGTGCCTGGCAGGGGCGGCTCAGGACAGGAGGGCGGGGCCTCAGAGTCCTCGGAGGGGTCTAGTCCTCCCAGGTGACAGTAACGTCCGGACTGCTGCCTCTTCTGCAAGCTGGGGCAGGCAAGACCACCTCATCCTCCTGAAGGCTGGTGCAGGCTTGGGTGAAACACCAAGGTTCAGGGCAACAGGAGGAGTGGGTGCAAAAGTAGCCCCAAACAGCAGACGGCAGAGACCTGGAAGGCTTTTCTGCACAGCGTGCGCGGGAGAGCTGAGGAGCAGGGAGCACTAGAGGGGATGTCAGCACAAATGCATTTCTCCACTTCCTGCTGTATCTGTTACAATGAACACATGTCTCTTATACTGTGCTACGCATTCTTTTAGCACACATTACTGGAAAATCTGTCAGACACAGTAAGAAGTTTCTGGAAAGGATCAGGCAGAGGCAGACCCCTTCCCACATGGTGCTCTCTGCGAGGCTTCCTATTTTTACCACAGCAAACGGTAATGACAAGCAGGACACAGCCTGTTGCCACAACTAAGAGTGGGGCAGGATTAGAGCAGGTGCAGGGCCTTCTCAGGAGGCCCTGAAGGCAAGACTCACAGACAGGGAGCCGAGAGCCCTGAGAGGAACAGGGTGCATCCCTGGGGAGCGGAACCACCCTGTGCAAAGGTCCAGAGGGGAAGGCAAGCTTCAATGGGACACTGAACAGTGTGGGACATTAAAGGAAGGCACTGCCTCATGGCCTCCCTGACCCGCGCGCGGCTTGACAGGCCCATGATGGGAGTGTCCAGAAGCCTTAAAGCCCATCCTTCTGCAGCGACATCCCCACCACGCACGGCTGGGCCCTTCTGTTCCCCGAGGAGCTGAGAGGGCAGAGATGGCTCTGGGTCATTCCCACTAGGGGCCAGGAGACCCACAGGGTCTCCAGCTGAACACACACCCCATGACAAGAGCTGGCTCAGGAGGCCTGGCGGCTCTTCTCTCTCCTGAGGAGGAGGGTAGGGCCCTGGACGGCAGCTGCGCCCCGGGGACCCCAGAATCTGCAGCATCACTCACCATGAGCATCTTCAGATCCGCTCGCTCAGCTGGGTTCTTAATGAGGCTGGGGGTTCCATGAGGGGAGCAGCAAGACAGACATGGGGAGACAAGACAGGGCAGTTAGGTGGTGGCCACGGGGACCGCCATCACTCTGCTGCCTGGTGCCCTGGGTGAGGGCTCCAGCACTGGCTGTGGTGTGAGGGCAGGACGCCCAGGGGAGGGGAGAGGAGGAGGGGAGGGTCTGAGACCAAGACAAGAGGGAGCGGGAGAGAAGGTGGGAAACCCCCTGCTGCTGCTCCGTCAGAGGCCCGGCAGCAACTGCAGCCCCATTTCCAGTAAAACCCACAAGTTTGGGAGTGCGATTGTCAAAATAGAACTTTTTTCCTTAAAAAAAGCAGAACTGGCTAAACGCAGCTGCTCAAAGCAGCTTGGGGCCGAATGGTAATTCTTCAAACGCAAGAGAAAACCTTGCCTGGAGACAAAAATGCTCACTGGGACAATGGCTAATTGGATCTGTGCCACCGGTGGCGGCCAGGAGTCATGGGGGCGGCCAGTGCCCCTTCTCCGCCCAGGCAGGTTTGCTGCTGAGCCACACAGGCTCCCGGGCAGCGGGGGAGCCGTGTCTGCTCATCCCTCTCCTTCGGAGGGAACGGCTGACCGCCTCCCAGAAGCTGGCGAGGCAGGCTTGTTAGAAGCTGGTGGCTCGAGGAGCCTTCTAGCAGAAAGCAAGGTGGGGACGGCTTTATTTGCAAAGTGCCTGTGACTCCGGTTCACCCGGGTTTGGGGGACAGCAGCTGGACACTGTGACTGCAGCCTGGGAAAGGAATCTGGGTTCTCAGGTGACCACAGGTGTCCCCTCGGATGCTCTGTCCACTCGGCATTCCTGAGTGTAGGCCCGGCAGAGGGGCCTGGGCCGGGACCGGAGAAGGTGGATGGCTGGAAGTGTGGGCGGTCCATCCCAGGAGGCAGGTGGGCCCTTATGTTCCCCGAGGACGGCCTGGTACCCAGCCCTACCCACCAATACCGCACTGGAGGCTGTGGCACCTTACCATTTATTCACAAACTCCTGGAAGTCCTGGGTGAAGACACCACTGGGCAGCTTAGGAGGAGGCTGTGGGAGGGAAGAGACAGGTGGGAGTCAGATGCTCACGATGGTTCTGGAATAGGGAGACCTTCCCAGCCTAGGCCAAGTGAGGACAACATGGCACTTGGGGACCCTCAGGGCACACTCTCCTAGCACAGTCCCTTCACCCTGCTGGAGACGGAGGGGGCACCCATCCCTTCTCCTGTCCAGCAGCTTCAAGGCTGGCCTGGCCTCCAGCTCTGCCAACTGGGTTGGCCTCTTCCAGAGTTTTCTTTTTTTAAATTTTATTAAATATTTTTTATTGATTTTTTTACAGAGAGGAAGGGAGAGGGAAAGGGAGCTAGAAACATCGATGAGAGAGAGTCATCGATCAGCTGCCTCTTGCATGCCCCCTACCGAAGATGTGCCGGCAACCAAGGTACATGCCCTTGACCAGAATCGAACCCAGGACCCTTCAGTCCGCAGGCCGATGCTCTATCCATTGAGCCAAACCAGTTTTGGCTCTTCCAGAGTTTTCTTTCGAAAGGTCTCGTCTGGGGATCACACTGGTTCTACAAGGAAGGAGCAAGGCTCACCTCATTTACGGACAAGGGCGGTGTCACACTGCCTGTGGGTGTCTTGAATGAGCTGCAGGTCTAGACTACAGGGGCAGCTAGTTCCAGGGGTCAGGGCCTGAAAGCTGGGGAGCCCGAGGAGCCTGGCCTGACACACGTGCCAGGGGGGGACAGTCATGTGCAGGGCCCGTCAGAGGCAGTGGCCAGAGACTGTCCTGGTGAAACAACAGGCCTCCTCTCAGCTCCTCCCACCTCCCCAGGCCTGGGACAGGCCTTCCTGCTTAGGGAGGGAGATGCTTGCTGGGTGGCACTGTCAGGTACAGGCAGAGCTGTGTCACCAGTCACCCCACCCTGGGCCAAGCCCCACACCACAGGCAGCCCAGCACCCTTTGCTGCCTCCAAAGGGCCACCGAAAATACACGTCAGCCCAGAGTCCCAGGGAAGGTGCCCAGGCCTTGTTGAGAAAAAGCCTTCAGGCCCCTAAGGTCACCCCTTCCCAGCTGCAGGCCCCTAAGGAGGCTGCTTCTATCCTTAGGCCTCGGTTTACCTGTCTGTGCAATGGGAATATTCACACCACCCTTCCAGGTGCTCTGTGCCTCCTTCCCAGAGAGGAGGGGGCTCTGGACTTTCCCCAGGCGAGTGGGACTGTTTGTGACTTCATGGACACGGCCTCCCAAGATGCTCAGACAGCTCTGGGAGTGGCCTGGCTCCTTGGCCCTGGGACTTGCCTATTGGCCTTGGAGAGAGGGCTGCAGTGGGAATTCTGGGATCATCTTTATAAACACAAAACATGTCCCTTGGGGAGGGGTGGATTTCTGCAGTATGGCTGGAAGTAAGACCATGTTTTTATACCTGATAACCTCCTATTGAAAAGAATGGTCCCCCGGCACCCTCCCCAACAAAATCCTTAGTCTCTGTGTCGAATCCTCCCTTTTTGCTAATGTATTCCTACAGCAATAACTTAATTCACTGGCATGAAGAGTGCCAAAGAGCCTTCAGGTACCCACCTCATTCACAATATAGTCCAGCAGTTCAAAGATAGCCATAGCCGGCCGGCTGTCCAGCCCGTGACCTGCCCGGGGGAGAAACAAAAATGGGGTGAAACGGGCGAGTGGCCGGTGTATTCCTGTTGGGCATTAAGTGTGAGCGTGAACAAGCCAGCACCGTGCCTGAACCAGGGAGGCTCCCCTGGCCTGGCTACCGAGTTCACTTCCTAGGAAAGTAACTCGACTCCCAATGAATTAATAAAACAAAATAAAACACAAGACGAACAGGAGCGTTTTTGAGAAGTTACACGTTTGGCATGGTGCTGCGCCCAGGTGGTGCCACGTCACAGCCCTGCTCAGTGGCACACAGGCACAGCGGGGGTGGTGGTGGTGGTTTGCTGGCTGCAGGCAAGGACAGCGGCGTGACCTTGCGTGGAGCTTTGGGTGGAGACAGCAGTAGGCTGCTGGGGTGGCTGACCCTGGTCCTAGACCCAGCTGGCCAGGGCTGGGTTTGGCAGTTGGACTTCCCCTTCTGTCTTATCCCGAAATGGGCACAGAGCTGGGGCAGGGGCTGGAGGAGATGGTGGCAGGCCAAGGTGGCCTGGCGTGACCCATCATTCCTCCCAGCTGGGAAGGGGCCGAAGGGGAACACCAGAGGCTGATGGGAGTTGGACTGGGAGGCTCGGGGCAGGGCCTGAGGACACAAATGGGGGCAAGATTCTCTCCTTAGAGGAAATAAAGACAGCCAGCAGCCTGGGTGCAGCCCCCGGAAAGGAGAAGGTCTGGACTTGAAAACACTGTGAAAATCGCCATCTGACAGCGCGAGTGCCCATCAGTGGTGAACAGACACACACATGGTCCAGGGGAATCCTATTCGGCCACGGAACGGAGTGAGGCACTGACACTAGTACGACGTGGATGGACCTTGGAGACACGGTGCTCAGTGAGAGAAGCCAGACACAAAGGCCACAGGCTGTGATCCCATTGATGTGGCTGTCCATAAGAGGCAAGTTCAGAGACAGGAAGTGGATTCGTGGGTGCCAGGGTAGGGATTCCTTTTCGGGTGACAATGTTTTGGAATTAGATAGAAGTGATGGTTGACAATATTGTGAGGATACCAAACCCATTGAATCATAGGCTTGAAAAGAGTGAGTATGGCACTTGAATTCTATCTCAATGAAACTGTTATGAAACCCGCTGACCACAGTCCACTGTCTGTTCCCTTGTGTTCTTATTGTCAAGCACTGTTCCCTCCAAGTGTGGAAGCAGCAGCTTGAACCTCTCAGCCTTCCACCTCACAGGCGGCAGCTCTTGGTATCAAGAATTGTTTGGGAGCCCAGTGCCCCCCAGCCTCCTGCCTTCTCCTCCCATGCTGAGCTGCTGGTGTCCCACAAACCACCAAAGGACATTCTGAATCAAATTCCTTTCAATTCTGGGTCTCCCTGGAGGCAGAATGCCCGGGCAGTGGCGAGGCGGTTGCACATAGGGCATTCCCCGGGCAAGCCTCTGGCCTCTTTGTATGCTTGGACATTTCTGTGATAAAATGTTGGAAAACCCAGTGGCTTGGCTGAGGGGCTGGCTTCTAGATCCCACCAGCTGGTGACAACAGGTGCAGCTGTCCCGGATGGGACAGGTCGGGGGCGCTGCTTCCAGCACGTCCCGGGAAGCCTCGGGACCATCTGAGGACTGCTGACCGCAGTGAGCACAACCCAGGGGACAGGTGGTGCCCAGAAGGGCCAGAGGGGAGGCAGCTGCCATCCCCCAGCATGGCATTCCCCATATCGGTCGCTGCCCATTCAAACCAGAAGTTCTCGACTCAGGCCGTACCACTGATGGGGCGTCCGGGGGGTCTCGGCCGCGGGGAGATGCTGTGAGGCTCTCCTTCTGCCCCATCGGCCACGGGCCGGCCGAAGATGGCCTCCAGCTCCTTGGCATCCGGCGGGGGGATGGGGTACCTTCCGATGGACAGCTCCACCAGGGACAAGCCCATGCTCCAGATGTCCGACTGCACCGAGTAGTGAGTGCCTTGCAGCCGCTCTGGCTGTTTGGTGAGACAGAGGAGAGAGGCCAGAGGGAGACAGGTGAATGGGAGCTGAGAGAGCTGACCAGGTCGGGGTGGCACCTGAGCGTCTCTCCGCTGTTCCCTCGACCCCACCCTGAGCCCTGCTAACCCTTTAGACACCAGAGTGATTCTGACTACTCCCTCCACCCGCTTTGGGAGGAGCTTCCAGCCAAGGCTGACAGCATCGCTTTAAAACCCGAGGTCCTTGGCACTTTTGGGGAAAGAACGATAGTGGAATGCCTCCTTTTTCACAGTAATCCCTAGACTCACTTCTCAGAATCTGCTTCAACCATCACCCGGTTGTTTCCTAAAATGCCCGAGGGTCTAGTTTGTTGGCTCAAAAATTAACTACTACTCTTCTTGCATGGATTTTTATTACCAGTGGGAAGAACCAGGCAGGCATCCCCAGAGACAAACCTGAGCGAGAACATGATGGGAACTAGAATTTCAGAGGAGAAATCCAGCAAAGAAAAAGAAAATATATTACGAGAATATGCAGGCTTTTGGAAAAGCTTCTGGAAAATGGGAAGAGCAAATGGAAGGGGGAAGGTACGGTACATGATGTTAAAACGCCTCTCAAAGGACTTACAGACATGTAGGATCGAGTTCCCACGAAGGAGTTGGCCATGGAGTCGATGAGCTGCCCGCTCACCCCAAAATCGCACAGCTTGATCTCCCCTCTGGAGTTGACGAGGATGTTAGATGGTTTCACATCTGAGAGCAGAGCCAGCGGGTGAGGCGTGGCTCAGGTCCACCCACTGGCCCGTGGCCCGGGAGGGGCCCCCTCCCATCTTACCTCGGTGCATGATCTGGTGCTTTTCCCGGAGATATGCCAGGCCCCGCAGAACCTGTGAGGGAGCCACAAGGAGGGAGGTCAGCAGGGCCGTGCCCCATGGGGGTGTCTGCCCTGGACAGGCCTGCAGGCCAGACCTCGGTGGCCACAGCATGTGGGGCTAGTAACCCGTTTTCAGGGGCAGGGGACGAGCAAGAGGAGAGGCAAAGTGATGGCACACCCACACTGGTGGGTACAGGTACCTCCCTCACTGATTCTCACATGACGACTCACCCATGAGGCAGACACAGCCATACCCTCTGTCCTTACCCTATTTTATGGACAAAGGGACGCCCCTGCTCAGTACCCCGCCAGTGTAGACTGGTGTTGGCAATCTCTCTCTCTGCTGGTCATGTGGAGAGGGCAGGAGTGAGGATCAAGTGGCAGAGCATGGGGCTGTGAGTGCGTGCACGAACCCAGTGCTGCAATGGCGGGGGACCTGGTGACTGCACACTCACCGCAATGCTGACCTTCCCCAAGATCTCTTCTGGAATTCTCTTGGCTTCTTTCAACACCTGGTCCAGAGAGCCACCATCCTGGGGGCAGTACAGGGGAGAAAGCAAGCGAGCTGAGCAGGCGGCCGGGTGGGGCTGCTGCAGAGACAGATCCCAGAGGGATGCTGAAGTGGCAGGTATAAAAACACAACATTTCCCTGGTTCCTGGAGAGCTGAGATCTGCTTGCTCCACGGGAAACAGAGGCCAGACCACAATAAAGGCAACCCACGGCTTCAGGATGGCACATCTAGTGAAGGGGAAAGAGTATCTGTGACTCAGCCTTCCTGAGGTTGCCATAGTGATGGGCCCGGCCACCAGGCTTGCAACTGGAGCCACCTGGAGGGCGCACCAGCTAGACCCAACCCCTTCTGGGCCTGGGTTCTTGTCAGAGCCCAGGCAGGAGAGACTGAGAGCAAAGGCGATGCCCCGTCAGTGTCCAGCACAAGAGAAAGGCGGCAAGCCAACAGGCCTCTCCCTTGCTGCCCCCGGGCACAGAGGACACCTGCGGATGACACCTCTGCCGCTTCCCTTAGGTCTCGTCCTGTGCTCACTGTGTTATGCACGGATTGTCCTGTAAAGGACCTGACACAGGCCCTCCCAGTTGATCCCCCCCCCCCCACCCTGGGTGTGGCCCCAAATCTACCTGACAATGAGGAAACAAGTGTCTTGTGCAAGGCTGCCTGGTAATAAATCTGGAAACCAAAACTCAGGGTGTTGCTGGCTCTGGCCTGGTTGCCTCTTCAGAGGTGGGGCTCTGAGCAGATGGCTGGCGGCCCCCTAGGACTTAGGTGACATGGCTAAGTTCCAACCACAGGCCGCAGCTTGCCTTGCTTCCCTCCACACTCCAGAGTGGAACTGAGGCTCAGTGAGGCCAGCATTTGAACTGGTGGCCCCGGAGCCTGCATTTCCTCTACTCCACTGCTCCAGGAGCCCCACAGGTGGCACTTCCTGGGGACACCTGCTTCACCTGGGGCAGGAGGAGCCTTGGAGGTGCCCAGGTCTCCCCTCTGGCGCCCCAGCTGTGCTCATGGAGTTTTAGAAAACCCAAAGAGTTTGAAGCTTCAAGAATATGTGTGACTCTGTCAACAAGTAAGGGACCCAAACTTGTAGAGGGTGGGTGTGGCTGAGGAAGGCAGGAGGTGAGCCTGGTCTGACCAGGGTGCCCGGCCCACCCCGCTCTACCTGCAGGGCGAGATGGAAATTCCTTCTATTCTTCTCATTTCTTGTTTTATCAATCAACCTTAAAAGAATTAAAAACATTTTAAAACTGTAATCCCGGTTCCCTAACACAGGTCCTTCTCCATTCTGCACTTTCATCGTGTTGCTATGTTCACGGAATAAGAACATTCAGGGAGGAATCTCCAGAGGCTATGGTGAGGCACCGTGCTGGGGGCTCAGGAGTTAACTCAAAACTCATGTGTGAAGGGCCCTGCTCTCTTCCAGGGTCTCCCCTCAGCATTGGTAGCACTGGGGCCAGGCCATTCTCCCAGGGGGCTGTCCTGAGCACCGTGGGGTGTTGAGCAGCAGCCCCGACCTTTGCCAGCATCTCCCTCGTTGTGAGAATGTCCCCTGGGTGAGATGCCCTGGTCTACAGCTAAGAGGGTAAGCCATTTGCTCAGGCCACACACACAGGATGTGGTGCAGGAGGTGTCACCACGAGGTCTTTTTGACCCCTCAACCTGTCTTTATGCATGAGCATACAGTTTCATTTTGTGTGTGTGTTTTAAATGTTCTTAAATTTATACTTTTATTAAGTGGTGGTAGAAGAATACGTATTTTTATAAAAATTTAAATGTAGATAGGTAACACCGATCCCCCAGTGATTCCACTTGCCTCTCCAGGAGTGTGACTTACAGTCTTCCAGATCCTTCTGCACATGTGCATACACATCCATATGCACAAGGAAATTCAGAGTTTTAAACAAATGTAAGTGGGTTCACAGCGTACATCTTTTCCTCACTGGGGATTTTCTGATTCGATTCACATGGGCTGACTTTGTTTCTCACTGCAGAGCGGCCAGGTGGCATCCCTTCTCTGTCCCTTACTGACAACGATGTGTCTGATTTTTTATTATGACAGAACGAGGGTGTTTTCTTCAGTGGGTTCCACTAGAGCCTCAGAGTGGCGAGTAAGCAGCTCCCCAGCTACTCCACCCCGAGATATCCACTGTCCCCTGGGTCCATGCCTCAATCTCACCCGGAAGAGACTTCGGCTACTCGGAAACTGCCAGCCCCGCTGTCCACTAGCCCCGAAGGCCAACACACTCTGGCCAGGCGAGGCATAACCGTCCGTGCTGGACCTGGCTTTATTATCATTAGGATTCTCTTCTCAAAAGCTGCAGCTGGAACCTCCCTCAGGGGCAATTAGAGCCGACCCCACACTGCCCTGAGTGAAAATGAAACCTCGCCCTCCACCAGGAAACAGTTGCACAATGTGGGGTGCAGACTAGGTGGGCTGTCACAATGGTGAAAAAAGAGACATGAAGACTCTGGTAGCTCAGTTGGTTAGCGTGTTGTCCAGATACGCCAAAGTTGCAGATTCAATTCCCCGTCAGGGCCCATTCAAGAAGCAACCAATGAATGCATAAATAAGTGTAACAACAAAGTGATGTTTGTTCTCCTGTTCAAATCAAGAAATGAGAGAGAAAAAGAGGGAGAGAGAGATATGAAGGCGAAAGAGAAATATGGAGAAATGGCCCCAGTGACAACAGTGGTAGTTACTCAGTGCCCTATGTGACGAGGGCTGGGGAAAGGCAATACCAACGCCCTTGGCTTGACAGGTAAGTAGAGGTGAGAAACTCTTCCAGAGTCACGTGCTGAGAGGTGGGCAGTGGGGCTGAGGCCTGACCCTAGGGAGCCATCTACCCCTTATGTGAGGCATCCTTATAGGTACATGGATGCACAAAGCAACAATGTCCTCCACACAGGGAAAACCTATGAACATGCAAATGGATTCTGGAGGGGTTTAGTCAACATAAATATACTGTTAAGGGCCCTGGCTGGTATGGCTCAGTTGGTTGGAGCATTGTTCCATACACCGAGGGCCATGGGTTCAATTCCTGGTCAGAGTACAAATCCAGGTTGCAGGTTCAATCCCCAATCAGGGCATGTATTGGAGGCAACTGATTGATGTTTCCCTCTTACATCAATGTTTTCTTTTCTCTCTCCCTCTATGTCTTCCTCACCAAGTCCCCCTCTCCCTTTTTAAAATAGGTTTTTATTGCTGAAACCGGTTTGGCTCAGTGGTAGAGCCTCGGTCTGCGGACTGAAAGGTCCCAGGTTCGATTCCGGTCAAGGGCATGTACATTGGTTGTGGGCACATCCCCGGTAGGGGGTGTGCAGGAGGCAGCTGGTCGATGTTTCTCTCTCATCGATGTTTCTAGCTCTCTATCTCTCTCCCTGTAAAATATCAATAAAAAATATATATATTTTAAAATAGGTATTTATTTATTTATTTATTTATTTATTTATTTATTTATTTATTTTTGAGAGAGAGGGAGGCAGGGGGAGAGAGAGAAACAATCATGTGAGAGAGAAACATTGACTGGTTGCACCCCTACCAGAAATCCAGCCAGCAACCTGGGTATGTGCCTGACCAGGAATTGAACTGGTGACCTTTCTATGCAGGGGTAACACTCAACCAATTGAGCCACACCAGCCAGGGCACCAAGGCCCCCTCTTTAAGGTTCATCTTAGTCTTGAAAATCACTGGCCTCCAAGATTGGTGGAACATGACTCCTCTAAGGAGAAAGCGGGAAGCGCAGGCCCCACCTTGGCATGTCTTTTCATTGGGGCATTATATATTTCTTCTACTGCCCTGGTCTGCTCATTAGAAAAGCAAACAAGTAAACAAAAACCCAACTAGAAACTTTTAAAGGATGAGCACAGTAAATAAACAGAATGGCTAGCACTCGCCCTCTGCCTCCTGGGGGCTCGGACTGTGTGGACACCACCGTCTTACATTCACCAAGAACAGATGAGGGAGTGGAGGGGCGCTAGGACGTGCCGCTCCCCCTTTGCTGTAAGGGAACGAGGTGGTTTCAAACTGTAACGCTATTCAGGGAGAACAGGTAGAGGTGATCAAGAGCACTGGAGAGGGAGAAGAGGAGGAGAGGGAGAAGAGAGGGCAGGGAGGGGGAGGAAGGAGGAGGAGGAGGAGCTAAGTACAGAGGCTCTCCTCAGATCATAAAGTGACTTCCGTGCTTTCCCCTCCCTGATTCTTGTCTACACAGTGACTTTGCCTTGCAGGCGGGCGGATAGGATCTTCCTCTCTGAGGAACGGGCTCCTCCAGGGGGCTGCCTGGTGGGGATCTCGATGCAGGGGTGGGGAGCATCCTGGCGGGCACGCCCTCCAAGAAGTGAAGCGGTTACCCAGGATGCATCCCTTGCAGTCACTTGCTCAATTTCGTTTCCTGCCTTCATTACAAAACTGTCAGGGGACAGCATATTTGCAAGGCATAACTGAAGCTGCTCAGGCCATGTGCCTAAAGCCACACTGCGCCCCGGTTTTGCAAGGGCCCTGCCAGGCCTGAGCCCATCCAGCCGGGCGGTAGGCAGTCTGGTATCTGCTCAACTGGGCTGCCAGAGGGTCGGAGGCGTTTCCCCCAGGGCCTTCAGCTCTGACCACTTCTGCTTTCGTTACACCCAATTCCACCCCCTTCTGAACTTCAAGACCAAAGTTTCTTAATTAGGGGTACAGCCGATGTAGCCGCAGTGGTTTAAAAAAACGATTGATGCCCAGGACCCCCCCCTAGAGTTTCTAATTCCGCAGATCTGAGCTAGGTGCAGGCCCAGGTCTTTCTGAAACAGCCCCAACTCGTACTCTCTCTTGAAGGCACTCTGGAGACATTGATCACATTTCCAATCTCGTGTACCCTCAGGCCCCACAATTCCACTGGGAGGACTTGACCACTCAGGGATGCTTGCTTCTGTGCAAGAACATTCAAGGCAGCATCATTCAAAATGGGCAGAGATCAGAAACAATCTCAGTGTCCACCAACAAGAGCTTAATAAACTGCCGAAACCGGTTTGGCTCAATGGATAGAGCGTCGGCTTGGGGATTGAAGGGTCCCGGGTTCAATTCCGGTCAAGGGCATGTACCTTGGTTGTGGGCACATCTCTGGTAGGGGGTGTGCAAGAGGCAGCTGATCGATGACTCTCTCTTGTCGATGTTTCTAACTCGCTATCTCTCTCTCTTTCTCTCAGTACAAAATCAATTAAAAAAAAAAATTGACTTACAGGTAAATGTGGGTGCCAAAACACTAGACTGGGGAAAAGAGCCGGCTCTATGTGCCGACAGGAAATAATTTCTGTCTTGTGCCCAGTGAAAGAGAAAAGTTGGAAGGAGGGCGTCCAGCATTTAAAGACGAAGGCACCTGAACATATGCACCCGAATGGCACTGACTCTCAGGGGGGACCGCCTGGGAAAGAGGTGCACTGCAGCCTCTGGGGACAGGACCCAGAGGGACACAGGAGGGGGCTTCCTCTCCTCTTCACCAGCCACCCTCTCATTCTTCATGAACCCTTTGTCCTGCCATGCCTCCCTGGTTGCAAGCCCAGGTGGCTCTGGGACACGGGCTGTGTCCCCCCTGCGCCCCCTCCGGCCCGGGTGCCCCGCCGCGCTCACCATGTGCTCCATGCAGATGCTGATCTCCCCGTCGCTGTAGAAGGCCCCGTAGAAGCCTACGATGTACGGGGAGTTGCACTCATGCAGCACCTGCAGCTCTCGGATGATCTGGTTCCGGATGGCTGGCTTGATCTCCAGGTGAATCAGCTGCAAGGGAATGGGAATCGGGTTCAGAAGCAGGCTCCTGAGGGGCACCAGGAAGGCGGGGGTGGGTGGGTGGGTTTGGTCCTCTGCCCTTGAGGTGCTCATGACAGCGTTCAAGACGCCAGCACAGCGTTCAAGACACCAGCTACCGCCGAAACCGGTTTGGTTCAGTGGCTAGAGCGTTGGCCTGCGGACTCAAGGGTCTCAGGTTCAATTCCGGTCCAGGGCATATACCTTGGTTTCGGGCACATCCCCAGTAGGGGGTGTGCAGGAGGCAGCCAGTCGATGATTCTCTCTCATCGATGTTTCTAACTCTATCTCTCTCTCTCTCTTCCTCTCTGTAAAAAATCAATAAAATATATTTAAAAAAAAAAAAAAAGGACGCCAGCTACCCTCCCCTTCCCTAGGTATCTATCTACCCAGGAGAACTGAAAACACAGATCCATGTACACACTTGTACATGTGTTCACAGCAGTGTGATTCACAATTGCTAATACATAGAAGCAACCCAAATATTCACCAAGTGGTGAATGGACAAACAAAAATGTGGTCCATCCTCACACCCGAATATTACTCAGTCATGAAAAGGAGTGAAGCACCGACGCTCACTACAACATGGACCAACTTTGAGAACACTATGCTCAGTGAGAGAAGCCAGACACCAAAGGCCACACAGTGTGTGATTCCATTTATGTGAAATGTCCCGAACAGGCACATCCAGAGACAAGAAGTGGACTAGCAGTTGCCAATGCCTGAGGCTAGGGCTTCTTTTGGGGATGATGGAAATGTTCCAGGATCGGTGGTGGCCATGTTGTGAATATACTAAAAAAGGGTATACTGTCCAGGAAACGAGTTACATCTCAAATAAAGTTGTTTTAAAAGCTCACCAACAGAGCAAACATTTTTTAATTGGTTAGAGGGGAAACTCTGTTAAGAGGAGCTTTCTTCCCACCAAATTGTATGAAGCCAGGAAATGGCCGGGCAGGGGGTTATCTCACCACGGCTCAGCCCCTCATTCAGGGGCGGGTTTCTCTGGATCCCTTCCCACCTCCAGGATGAGCAAAGGCAGAGAGAGCCTCTGGTCACCTCCTGAGGATCCTAGCTGCCCTTACACTTGAGTTCAATCCTGCAGCCAGGAGTGTCACCAAATTCATTCCATTTTCAAAGGTGAGAAGCCTAAGGACCATCTGGAGACGCGGATAAAAGATAGCAGCCAAAACACCAAGAGCAATGCTTAACTACAAACCCTAAGCAAGCCAAGATCCCCTGCCCAGTGATGCAGAGCGACGGTTGTGGGTCCGGGTCCTGGCTACTTAGAATCCTAGATGCTCTGGCCATCATGGTAAGTTAAGAAAAAGGTCGATTTATGCCCCTGCCCCACAGAGGCAGAGGCAGATCACAGGCATCTGGAAGTGATTGCCATCAACTCAGATATTTACATAAAGCCAGTTACATCAGAGGTCAGCGATGAGGAGAAAGACAGCAAAGATGACCCCTGCTCAGAGATATGCCATCGGGAGGGAAGAGAAGCAGGTGAAACAACCCAAAACGGTGGGGGTGCCCCAATGGAGGAACCGTGGAGAGGTGATCTGGGGCTCAGGTGACACTGGGGCCAGTGTTCCAGAAAGAAAGACAAAGAACTGCCTGTCTGAGGACACCAAGGCACGAAAGGGTGTGTACCAAGTTGGAGGGAAGGGGGGGGAGTCACAGGGTATGTGTGGGAAGTGTCACCTGCTCACAGGCCCATGCCAATGACCCTTGCAACCTTGAGTACTCAGGCAGGTCCTAGCAGCCTGGTGCCTGTGCCCCCATCATGCCCCCAGGCAGTACCTCCTTGATCGGGACCCTCCAGGGCTGCTCAGGCATTTGGTTCTCCACCCAACCTAGCCCGCAGAATCCAGCCTAACTACCCTTCCCGGGGCACTGCACACCCCCGCGGCCACCTCCAGGACTGCAGCCACACCAGGACCCCAGACACTCTCTCCTTGGTGGGACTGCATCCTCCAGGAGATGCCCAACATATGCACACATACGTGTTTCAGATGCTGGGTGTGAAAATGAAGCTCCGATGTTTGCATGGAAGATGGGAGGCTGATGCATAGGCAGTGCAGGGTGATGGAGATCCGGGCCATCCAACAGAAATATACCGCGAGCCACACACGTAATTTAAAAACCCTTTAGCTACCATAGTAATGAAGTGAAAAGAAGCAGGAGAAATAATTTTTTCATGTCTTTTGTTTAACATAATGTATCAAAAAATTGACATGTGATAGACATAAAAGTATTAATGACTTTTTTTTTTTTTTTTTCATACAGAGCCCTTGAAATCAGGTGTGTTTTTTGCACATGTAGCAGTCTTGACTGAAACTGACCACATTTTAAGGGCTCAGTAGCTATACCTGACTCAGGGTGGCTCTTGACTAAGAGCTTGAAAGGAGCCGCAGATGAATGAGTGGCAGGGGAGCGAGAGTCCACCAGGCTTTAGAGAAGAGGAAGGTGGACAGAACTGAGAACGGCACGGGACCCCTGAGGTCCCGGAAGCCTGGAGTGGGGTGAATGTGAAACAAGGCCCCTGGAAGTGCGAGGCTTTTGGGAAAGTTGTAAAGAGGGAACGTAGTAAAAAAACACAAAACAATAAAAATAAAAAGGAGGGAACGTAGGGGTGCTGCTGTGTGATCTGTTTTAATGGATCTTGTAAAGCAAACCTTCCGGATTGAACAGGAGTCGGCACTGAGGGCGCGCAGAGAAAGGGCAGGAATGGGAAGGCACATGTGCTCACAGTTCACCTTGGTGACAACCCTGGGTGGGGCACACAATTCGCCCCGATGACAACCCTGGTGGGACAGGGTACCTGCCCCATTGCACTGATGAGCAAGTTCATTCCCACGGACACCCAGCTGGTGAGCAGTCAGGGCAGGATGGGGGCTGAGCTCACAAACTGCCAGAACCCATCCTCTTTCACGCGCCCTCCGGGGCCAACCAGTCCCACTGGCTGATCGAGTCAGGATAGTGCTGGAAGTTCAAACAGAACACAAAGCCTGTCTAGGAGTTTAGGCAGTTCCTACTGCAGGACAGGGGCGGAGGGGACAAACTAGGAAAGAGGGACATGGATTCTGGAGGTAAAACCCTGACAGCTTCCACAAGTCAGGGTCAGCCACACAGGTTTAAATCCAATTCAGATAAGACTCAAACTAGCCTCAGTTTTCTCACCTGTAAAATGGAGAGGTCACTCAAGGTTTTAAACTGGCTCTGACACAGGGCAATCACTTGAAGCATTACTATGTGGCCGTGGGTGGGTCACATGACCTTCATTGCAGAAGCAAGTGCACATTCCTTTGCTCCGAGCAGAGGGAGATCCAGGGAGCCCTGCTGAGTAACAAATGTGCTAAACTCTCCGAAGAGCTCGCAGAGGTTTTGTTCCTAGGACCCGCAGGAGTTAGTGAGCCATGCTAATCAAGAAAAAAATTTATGAACAAGCCTGACTGTAGAAATTGAGAGACTTGTTTTCTTGGGCCTTACCGAACTGGTCTTGTTGCTTCCCCAGCCCGTCCTACTGGTTAGGATGATCCTCTGCCAGGCACAGGGACCGGAGGGATGCTGGCCCACAGAGCAGGAGCTGTATGGGCGTCCAGGAGCTCCACCCAGCCTTCACCCTCACACCTGCGGGCAGGCTGCCTCTGGAGATCTGATAAGCCTCACACTTGGAATGTGTGGAATTCATACCAGGCTTCCTGGAAAATTCGGAATTCCAACCGGGGGTAGTGGAGGAAGGAATGAGGCCACTGTTTCTTAAGAACTCTTTTGTCTTGCCAATTTGCCCATCTATGCCCTCAACTGAATAAGGCAACAGATCTCCCAGGTGGACTGGCATTCGGATGGATTAAAAGGAGCCCCTTACACCCCCCCCCCTCCAGAGTGGCCCAGGGCTCCTGGGCTAGAAGGCGTTACAGCCCCAGACCACACAATGCCCAGTACACAGCCTTCTCGTTCAATGTATTTGCCAACTGCCTGCACTGTTCTGACAACTGCTGGGAGGAGGAGGTTCAGATCTACAGGAAACAAAATCCGAGTTCCTGACCCTCATTTATTGGACCTTTAAAAAAAAAAACACCCAACATTTTATTTTGAAAGAATTAAAGAAGCAGAGGGAAGTTGCAAAAACAGCAGAGTCCTACGCCCTTCCCCCAACAGTGACATCGTCTATGATGAAGGACCAAACCAGGAAACTGACATTGGGACAGCACCACCGCCAACTTGACTACAACAGTGCTTATCTGTCCCCATTTTGAAGTCTGATGTCTTACTTCACAGGCTTTTATAAAACTGCAGACAAACTCCCAGATTCATGTTTATACAAGGCTTGTTGGGAACACCTGGAAGATTCCTCAGCTGGCCTGAGAGAACCCAAGTTCCTGATACAAACTCTTGACCAGCACTGTTCTCAAGTCTCTCTCTCCCTCCCCCTCCCTGAACCTCATACCTGCCTTTTATTCCCGGTGCTCCGGGCAATGGCAGACCAGACATTTCTGGGGCTGCTCTGGTTTTGAAAAGGCTGCTGTGCTAACAGGACAGAAATAGGCTGGAGGAGGGCAGTGCTCTCGAGGCAGGAGAAATAGCTACAGAGCTAAAACCCATGGAAACCAAGCTCACCATTCCCAGGAAAGGTGGGACCTGCTCCGGCCCACCAGGCTCGGGGCGGTCAGGTTCGGAGAATACAATTTGGAAATGACAAGACAGTGGGCTTTCAGAAACAGGCGGCTTTTGATGTCTGAAAGAACGTGACTGTATGAATGAAACAACTGGTCAACATGAAGCCTCTGCAGTTAGATGTTTGGAAGCCACTGTCCCCAGACAGTCACATTCCTCTAGTCCACTCCTTATTCTCCCAGGATTATTCCCGAATGTTTAATGGGAGGCTGTCCCGTGGTACAGAAGCCCAGATGAGGGAGGCTCAGGACTTCTCAGAGCCAAGGTTTGTACTAAGGGGCCGGGTGATGGTTGATTTAATGTGTCCATAGTATCCAGCTGTCTGGTCAAACACCAGTCTAGATGTCACTGTGAAGGTATTTTTTAGAAGTGATTGTACATGGAAATCACCTGATTTTGAGAAAAGCGGACACCCCCTCCCCCCAATAAGTGGGCAGCCTCATCCAATCAGTTGAAGGCCCAAAGAGGAAAAAACAGGTCCCCCAAAGAGGGGATTCTGCCTCCAGATTTAAGCTGTGACATCAACTCTTCCCCGGGTCTCCAGCCTGCTGGCATGCCCTGAAAGTTTCAGACTCGCACGATTGCATAAGCCGATTTCTTAAAATACCTATACCCCGCCCTCCCATCCTAGTGCTTCGGATTCTCTGGAGAACTCGGACTAATACAGGTGGTTTAGTTACCCCATTGCCCAGGGACCAACACAGCAGACAGAGGCCCTGCTTGGGTCTGCAGCGTTTTTTTCTGGTTGTGAAGTCAGGGTGATGCCAGCTCTAAGGGGATTTAAATCTCATCCCTTCTTCCTGAAAACTCCCTCAGCTTTCTGGGAATCTGAATTTAAGCCGCGCTGAAGGCAAAGGTCAGTAATAGAGAGGAAGAGCCAGCATTGCTGCATTCTAACTGGAAGCCGATCTCTTTTTCAGGAATGAGAACCCACCGCTGATGAGAGGGCTTCTGAGCACAGGAGCCAGCAGAAGACAGAGGCCGGCACCTTTCAAACTGCTCTCCTGTTTCCAGGGACCTGCTCCTCCATGTCACCCACAGCACATAGGGACAGAACACCTGCCTTGCCACTGGCCACCTCTCACCTTTCTTGCCATGATGAGGCCTGAAGGTCTGTGCTGGACCTTAGTGACCACTCCGCCGTTCCCGGCTCCCAGCTCTGAGATCCTTTCGAAGTCATCATCCTTGAGCTCCCCAACCTTGGCCTTTTGGGTGAGGAAGGCTTCTAACCGCTTCTTCTGCTGCTCATCAAGCTCTAGCTCCTCTAGCTTCTTCTGGAGGTCCACCAAGTTTGCTCTGTAGAGACCCAACGACAAGGATTAGTGAAGCGTGTGCAAGCCGCCCAAAAGACTCAACCTGAGCGGGAGGTACCATGTGGCCAGATCCTGGGTTTGTAACCAAAAGGATGCAGAGATGAATCAGATTTGATTCTTGGGCTTGAGGGGCCGATGATCTAGCAGAGGAGAAAGAAGACCTGTGTACACACAGCTGATCAGAAGAGAAAACTGGCTCCCCAAGAACTGAGGCCACTGGCTCTCTCTCTGCTTACAAAGGTTAGGAGACCTCAGCACCTGGGGGACCAGCTCTGATTCAATGACCCTGTAATCATATGCAGGAGCCCTCCTTCCTGACACAAGAGTTCCCTACCTCTCTCGAAGGAGACATGGAACTGGGGAGACACGACAGGGCATCAGGGGAGTAAAGGCCCAATCCTCTGTCTTCATGAGGATTGAAGAGCAAACTCCTTTTTAGTGGCCTCAGAGCCAAGAGCAAGAACCAATGGGCAGAAGACAGAAGTTGTAATTCACATGAAGAGCAGACTGATTTAAATAGTGCAGATAATCCCAGGGCATTCCACTCAGCCAGCACACTCTTATTATATCTGAGCACTACTGTAAACATTAGGCATTTATACCCACACACATTCCTGGACCAGTTATTAAAAAACCCACATGTACATTGCACTTTATTGGGCGACTCAAGGAATTTTCAAAGAAAAATTTGACGATTAGCTATTTTCACTAATGCCTTGGGGCAAAAAAGTTTCTTGTAACAGGCAGGTAGACTTTAGCACGATGCACACAGGGACCAACCCAGTGCCGTCCAAACAAACAATGTAAACAACTTGTGCAATTTAAAATTTATAAGCACATTAAAAATATATATCAAGTGAAATTAATTCCAATACATTTCATCTAACACATCAAAATATATTTTGCAATATGCAATAAATATAAACAAATTCACAAATATCAATTCCCATGTGACTATGATTCGCCAACAACTTTAAGAGGTTTGAGCAAAGGGTCCCACAGGCCAGGAACGAGAAAACCTGCCGCTGGGCAATGCCACTCTGGTACTGCAAAGAGGTGGCTGGAAGGTAGGTGTCATTTCCTGAGCAAGTAAACCAGAGCTTCACTAGTATAAATATCATCACACTATCTTGTTTAATTCTCTCAATCCTCCTGGGAGGCGGGGTCTCTTGTAGAATGAAGCCCACGCCAAGGGGACAGGCCCAGGAGGTTAAATAACTAGCCTGAAGGTCACAACTCTAGCAAGTGGCAGTGTCTGGAATCAAACCTGTATCCTTCCTGATTACACAGTCTGTATTCTTTTTTTTTTTTAATTAAAAAAATATTTTTTTTGATTATAGAGAGGAAGAGAGAGGGAGGGAGAGACAGAAATATTGATGAGACAGAATCATTGATTGGTTGCCTTTTACACACCCCTTACTGGGGATGAAGCCTGCAATCCAGGCATGTGCCCTTGACTGGAAATGAACCTGGGACCCTTCAGTCCCCAGATCGACACTCTACCCACTGAGCCAAACCAGCCAGGGTCAGTCTGTGTTCTTGATGGCCCTTGCTCATCACAGTGTGCCCCTGAACCAAGACCAGGGGCCCAGAAGATGTTCACTGGATACCTGGTGAACCAAGGCTTCATTGAAGAAGGAATGATAAGGACTCTGATGGATGGAAGAGAGGAGGCACAGGAATGAATGAATGCGACAGAGTTCCTTCACTGGAGGGTCGAGAGACAACTTTTGAGGCCAGACTCTGGAAGGGCTCCAGCACTGCCCTGTGACATCTAAAATGCATTCTGGAGTCAGCTGATTAATCCATTTTAAATTTAATGGCAACTCCACTGTGGTTATAAAAAACCCTGGAATCCCAATGGCTGGCTTCCTCTACTGGGGGAATTTTTGAAGGGATGGAAATCAGACACCACATAAAAAAAGAAGAGAGAGAGGGAGATTATGAAGGAAGAGCTGTCTTGTAAGAAGAGGAGTGAATTTTTTACTATAAAAAACACATCCCCACATTGAGCTATGCGCTTGGAGATAAAGAAAGATGTCAACTCACACACATGTATCAAGACTCATGTCCTTCCCTTCACCACCACCTTACCCCTCACCCAGGTTACAGAAGGCCTAGTCTCCTGAGGCACCAAACATGCCATTCACCCAGTGCACACCAGAAACAGATCACACCTGGTTTTCACGGGAGTCACACCACAAGCACAGGAAAGTGCCCCTGCCAGGGCCTCTGGGGCTGTCCCGCTCTGCCCCACCAGGCACAGCAGGAACGAGGAGGGGGGGGGGCAAGGACTTCTGGGGTCAAGCAGTTTCCCTCGTGTGACTCCACAAGCATGTTTTCCCTCACACAGTAAGATACTGCCATCGTGTAATCCCTCCACCCAGGGACGTTCCTTTCTCTGTCCCCTTCTCCACAAATCCTCCTGCTTCCCTCAATGGCCTCAAACCCTCAAACCTCTTGCACTTCTCCAGCCCCTCAAGGCTTTGCTAATCCATTAGGTTCAGAATTTCTGCTGTCAGAGGTTCTCACTTCTTTCCTAGATGTCTCCTATTGTCCCCCCACACACCCTGCCCCTCCAAATTCTCCTCGCTCCCTGCTTCCCCCGCCTCCTCTGGACCTCCTCACCCCTCTCCCCCGCTTCAGGGGCTTCACCCCCAACTAGCAGGATTATCTCCGGCTTCCTTCCCCCCAAATTCCCTCAGGGAGCCTTCCCCCTATTACTCCACGGCTCAGGGATCCCTCCCACAGCTCTTAGGCATCTCTCTCCCTTTTCCTGGTCTTCAATGGACTTCCTCACCCATCCTCCCCCCCAGGGACCTCGTTCACCTGTTCAAGATATGCAAGGGCCCCCTCCCCCCACCTCACTATTCAGGGGACCCCCCCCCCGCCCGCCCGCCCAACCTTTGACTTCACTACTAGGGACACCTGCCCCATCCTCTCCTCTCAGGAACCCTCCCGCATCATCACCCAGGATATGCTACTCAGGGACTCCCCCCTAACTCCAATTTCAGTACTCAGTGGCCCCACACCCATCTTTTTCCTGCAGGGACCTCATTTCACCCCGGTTCACTACTCAGGGACCTTCCTCAGCAAAATTTCACTATTTAGGGCCCCGCAACTCCTTATTTCCCCACAGGAACCTCCCCTCACTCCAACCTTACTACCAGAACCCCTCCCACCTTCACCACGCAGGGGCTCCCCGCCATCCCATCCCATCCTCTCCTCTCAGGACCCCTCCCACCTTCACCTCTCAGGGACTCCCCTCCCACCCCATCCTCTCCTCTCAGGACCCCTCCCACCCCATCCTCTCCTCTCAGGACCCCTCCCACCCCATCCTCTCCTCTCAGGACCCCTCCCACCTTCATTCAGGGGTTCCCCCCCTCCCACCCCCCTATCCCCTCCTCTCAGGACCCCTCCGCTGACCTCACCACTCAGGGGCTCCCCTACATTCCATCCCCTTCTCTCAGAGAGCCTACTCCTGACCTCCCTACCCAGGGATCCCCATCCTCGTCCGGCCCAGCCCACTCACTCGGAGGCGCCCTCGCTGGTGGGGGATGGGCCCTCGGCGATGGCGGGGTTGATGGTGAGCGCCGGCAGCACCGGCTTCCTCCGGGCCAGCATCGGGGCTCCGCGGGCCGGCGGCGGCGCCTCTAGCCGGGGCCCATAGGGGGCGGGCCGGGAGCGGGCGGCGCCGACACGATCGCGGAGCTGCGGCCGCGGCCTTCGCCGGCACCCGGGCGGCGAGGGCGGGGGCGCTGCGGACCGGGGCACAGGGGCGCCGCGGGGCGCGGGGAGGAGGCCGATGCGCCGCCGCCGCCGCCGCCGCCAAGGCCGGACCGAGGCTGACGCTGCAGCCGGAGCCCCGGAGGCACAGGCGGGGAGGGGGGAGCGACGAGATCGCGGAGCAGCCTCTCGCGAGAGCCACCCCGGGAACGCGCAGGCCCCGCCCCGCTCCTCGCCCGGCGTCGGAGGCCCCGCCGGAGGCCGCCTCACGGAGGGAAAGGGGCGGGGCCCGCCGAGGCGGTGCGGGGGGCGGGGGCGGGGCGGTACGGGGAGGGTGCGCACCGCTCGCCCCACCCCCGCGCGTGTGCGCCTGCGCCGGGCAGGTGAGCCAGGTGGGGCGGGGCCGCGGGGCGGGGCGGAGCTGGGCGGTGAGTGGGAGAGGCCCGCACCTCAGCGGTGGCTGCCGGGTTGGGGCGACGGCAGCCGCTGAAATCTCCACAAGTTGTGGGAGACGGACCAGAGCCACCTGGAGTCTTTTCTTTGTTCACCTGAAGTCTTTTTTGCCAATTATGGATGCCAGCCCCCACCAACGCATAACCCCATCCTTTGTGGAAGAAAGGTGTTTTAAAAATATTTTTATTGTGTTAAATATACAAATGTGCCTTTTAAAAATTAATTTATTGTCTAAAGTTTTACATATGTCTCCTTTCCCCCCAATTGACACCCTTTCCCACCACGGGCAAGGCCCCCCTTCTCGCCCCCCAGTGCCTGTGTCCAGTCCTTTGGTTGCTCTCTACCTTCCCTCCCCCACGTCCCTACCATTTGTTTCTGGATCTATTCTTTTTTAAAATATATTTATAAAAAAATATTTTTTATTGATTTCAGAGAGGCAGGAAGAGGGAGAGAGATATATAGAAACATCAATGATGGGGGAGAATTAATGATCAGCTGCTTTGTGCTAGCCCCCTACTGGGGATGGAGCCCGCAACCTGGACATGTGCCCTTGACCGGAATCAAACCTGGGACCTTTGAGTCCGCAGGTCGATGCTCTATTCACTGAGCCAAATTGGTTAGAGCTCGAGGGTTCCTTTTTCTCCACATCCTCTCCAGAACTTGTTATTTGTTGACTTGTTGATGATAGCACAAATGTACCTTTTTAAAAACCATTTTTAAGTGTACAGTTCAGTGACATTAAGTGCATTCACATTGTTGTTCAACATCGCCATCATCCACCTCCAGAACTTTTCCATCTTCCCACAGTGAAACTGTCCCCATTAAACACTAATCCCTCCTCCCCCAGCCCCTGGTTCCCACTTTCTGTCTATAAATCTGACTCCTCTAGGAACATCATATAACTGGAATCACACAGTATTTGTCCTGTGGTGTCTGGCTGATTTCACTCAGCATAAGGTCTTTAAGGTTCACCCATAGTTGTAGCAGGTGTCAGAATAGCCTTTCTTTTCAAGGCTGAATAATATTCCATTGTATGATGGACCCCATTTTGTTGGTTCATCCGTTGGTAGACGTTTGAATATTCCCACCTTTTGCTCTTGTGAATAATGCTTTGATAATGGGGATAAAAATGATGGGTATAAAATATCTTTGCTTTCAGTTCTTTTGGGCATCTTCCTAGAAATGGAATAGCTGGATTGAATGGTAATTCTATATTTGATTTTTTTTTTTTTTTAAGGAACCACTATGCTGTTTTCCACAGTGGCCGCACCATGTTATGAGAAATGTGATTTTAACACTCTTCTAAAGATGTAAGTACGTGGCACTGAATAAAGGACAGTCATTTAAAGGGGTAAACGTTGACTTTATGTAAAATTCACCACATTGCTTTTCTCTTTGTCATGTCTTTGAGCACCGGTGTACATTTTATGGTGGGGCGTACCTTTGGAAACCACGTGGGAAGAAACAGAGGGAAAGGCTCAGTCAGCATTGTCTTCCAGGGTCCAGCCCAGGTCCCCTGGTCTCTCTGGCTCAGTCCTGCCCACTTCATGTCTGCCCCTCAGTTCTTTTAACAGTTAATTTGCAATGCTCTTTATGTGCTAGTTGCAGTGCTGGGCATCAGAGATACAATGTTTAAAAGATACGAGATATACATAATTGCAGCCCAGCCAGCAGTAACTCAGTGATCGAGCATCGACCTATGAACCAGGAGGTTACTGTTTGAATTCTGGTTGGGGCACATGCCCGGGTTGCAGATTTGATCCCACTGGGGGTCCTGCAGGAGGCAGCTGGTCGATGATTCTCTCTCTCTCTCTCTCTTTTTTTTTTCCCAATGCCCCCCCCCCCGATGATTCTCTCTTAATCATTGATGTGTGTGTGTGTGTCTCTCTCCCTTACTCTCTGAAATCAATAAAAATATTTTAAAAATATATACATAATTGCAAAATGTAACAATGCTCTAAAAATGCAAAAATGTAACCATAACCCTGATTAAAACTACTCGCAGACATGCCTGACTTCTACAATGTGGGCCTTTTTAGTTTTGCATCACACTGCTTCCACTCGCCCAGAATTCAGGAGAAGGCTCTCTTGGCCTCAGATGATGCCATGACCTTTCCCAGCTCAGGGCATTTTCATCTTCTTCCTGTTCTGCAAATTGATCTCGCTAGTATATTTTATTTTAGGCTATATATGCCTATAGTCCTTTTAAAAATTTGTCTATAGCTTCCATATAATGAAACTGAGTGTTCAATTTCCTGAGGTTTTACCATGGTATGTACCCATGTGACCATTCCTGTAAACAATACGGAGAACATTTACATCGCTCCAGAGTTTCTTCAGTGCCCTATTCAGTTAATAATTCCCTCGCCCCACCTAGCAATAGTGTGCTGGTAAATGTTTAACAGTGGGCCTTAGAAATGAGGGTGGGGAGACACATTGATTTGTTGTTCCACCCATATATGCATTCATTGGTTGCTTCTTGTATGTGCCCTGACAGGGATCGAACCCAAAACCTTGGCTTATTGGGACAACACTCTAACAAACTGAGCTACCCTGCCAGAGCCACATTACACCATTATTGTGGTGTAAATATTTTCACCACAGCTGATTATCATGGAATTAGAAAGAATGTTAACAACAGACATCTATGAGCTAGGACAGTGGTTGGCAAATGCATTAGTCAACAGAGCCAAATATCAACAGTACAACGATTGAAATTTCTTTTGAGAGCCAATTTTTTTAACCTTAAACTTCTTTTTTTTTTTTTTTTTAAATACATTTTTATTGATTTTTTACAGAGAGGAAGGGAGAGGGATAGTTAGAAACATCGATGAGAGAGAATCATCGATCAGCTGCCTCTTGCACACCCCCTACTGGGGACGTGCCCGCAACCAAGGTACATGCCCCTGACCGGAATCGAACCTGGGACCTTTCAGACCTTCTATCCACTGAGCCAAACCGGTTTCAGCTTAAACTTAAACTTCTTTTAATGCCACTTCTTCAAAATAGACTCAAAATAGTGCCCTTGACCAGAATCAAACCCAGAACCCTTTATCTGTAGGCCAATGCAATGCTCTATCTGCTGACCCAAACCAGGTAGGGCTCATTTTGCCTTTTTTACTAGTTTTGAATATTTTGTGGGCATGAAGAGGTTAGATCTGTCTTCCTCTCCAGCTTGTTAGAGTTGAAACGTCACACATTAATGCTACTGGAATAAATATGGGTGTTCCTGTTCGTGGGGAGATACATTTCCAGCTAATTGCCTGTTTCTCAGCACTTGTGATAGAACATGAGGTTTTATTATTGAGGGTACAGTACAAATGCACGCCCTCCACCTCCTACTCTATCTTTATTAGTGAGCACATATCACTCTGTAACTTCTCCCTGTTACATATCTCTCCTTATCATTGCTTTCAGTCACATTCTTAGTACGTCTGTTCCATGGTCCCAGAGACTTGGGTGACTCTTAATCACTCTCCCCACCCCCAGGAAATAAATTTCTAATAGCTTTGCTGATAAATTCAATCCAAGGTGCTATTTATCTTGTTTGGGCAGAATCTAGTATTACTATCACATGTGCACACACTTTCTCCACACGCACCTGAACTTCATTCTCTCCCCCTGTGCAATGGATTAACTGAAAGAACAGCTGACCCCACCCTTTTGGGAAGCAGTTTCATATTCTCTGGAAAACTCCTGGCCCAGGAGTTCTCTTAGGCATGTAACCTAGGAAACTCTTGCCTTTTATGACCAGGAGACACACACATGAATGTTCTTGATGGCACACATCCGGAAAGGACACAAATATCCATCCATGGGAAATTATTTCTTAGTATAATCTCACAAAGAGATACTAAGCAGCAGAAGGCTCACAAAGGACAATACCATAAAAAGCTTTAGGAACTTAAAGTGATGGAAGACTCTCTGACACCATTTGTAGACAATGAAAATGACTCAATACCATTAGCTACTGGGGAAATGCAAGGTTTGAAATAAAATTTAAAATGCTGCCCTAACTGGTTTAATTCAGTGGATAGAGGTTTGGCTCAGTGGATAGAGCGTCGGCCTGCGGAATCAAGGGTTCCAGGTTCGTTTCCAGTCAAGGGCATGTATCTTGGTTGCGGATACATACCCAATAGGGAGTGTGCAGGAGGCAGCTGATCAATGTTTCTCTCTCATTGATGTTTCTAACTCTTTCTCCCTCTCCCTTCCTCTCTGAAAAAGTCAATAAAACATATTTAAAAAATTTAATGCTGACAATACCAAGTGCCAGCAATGATGCTAAGCAACTGGGACTCTTAAATCGCTGGTGGGAATACAAAAATGGCCCCCCCACCCCCCACCCCCCAAAAAGACCTGGCAGTTTCTTAGGAAGTTAAGTACACGCTTACCACATGACCCAGACATCCCACTCCTGCGTGTTTACCCAAGAGAAATGAACTTGT